ACAGAATCTTAGGATCAGAATGATGGGAGCTCTGATATTTGCTGTGATGTTCTATGGAAGAGAAAGTTGGACAAAATGAGGAAGATAAGAGAGTGGCAGTCTTTGAACATTTATTTTGAAGAAATAAATTACATGTCCGTCATTTGCACATAGTTGAAACTAATTGAATTGAAACTAATTTGAACTAGAATAACAGAGTTGGCAGGGACCTTTGTCTTTTAGTCTTCCTCACCTTTCATTCCTTCCTATGGAGCTCCGTCCCCACTCTGGGCTCCTCTTCCCAGGTGCATTGTGGGAAAGTGTGGCACTGAAACTGCAAATAGATGCAGCCACAACACACATAGATCAGAGATTTGTCTCCGAAGTTCAGGAAACTCCACAATTTCTCATATTCTGGGCATTGATGGGGGTAATAGGTGGGTGTGTAACATTTTCCAAGCCACAGGTGAGTCGGAAGGGAGCTTGGAGGTCTTCTAGCTCAACCCCTTGCCCAAGCAAGAGACCCTATACCATTCCAGACAAGCAACTCTCTAGCCTCTCTTAAAAGCCTCCACTGAGGGAACACTCACAACTTTTGGAGGCAAACAGTTCCACTGATTAATAGTAGTAAATGTTCCTCCCCCCACCAATCTTTGTGACAGCTTCTCAAATATTGAAAGACTGCCATCCTGTCACTCCTAGTCCTTCTCTTCCTTCGACCAGACATATCACTTCCTGCAACAATTTGCTTTATGTTTTAGCATCCAGTCCCCAATTACCCTTGTTGCTTTTCCCTGCATCCTTGCTAGTCTCAAAATCTTTTTTCTATGGTGATAGAAAACAAAAAAATCTCAAAAGATGAAGTTCGACCCTATCTGGAATTTGTAAACAAGTTCATAAGTAAAACAGGTTGAAAAAGCTCAAGATAGTTGCAAAGTAACCTCACGAGTAGGACCAAAATTAATGCGACTTTCCCTTCCCTGTTTTGCAAAGAACAATTTCAGGGTCAAGACGGCTGTCAGCTCTTCAAGAGAAGCTGAATCAGGAAAGTAAACACAGAAGAGTTGTAGAATTCTTACTTTATTGATAATAGGCCAAGTGTGTCAAATTGGCAGCCCAGACGCATCACATGCAGACCACAAACCCCCAGGTCCACGAATGGGAAAAACATCGCAAAACATCGCATGATGTGTTGTGGCAAGTTTCATAATATAGACTAGAGTGGCAGAACCCTAAGATCAGAATGGTGCTAGCCATATTTTCTGTGACATTCTATGGAAGGACAAAAGGAGGAGGATAGGAAGAGTATGGAAGGTTTTGAACTGTACTGAGATTATGATGTAAAGCCAATTTATTAGACATCCATCATTTGCAGAGTAGTTTAGTTTCAATTTCTGACAGCCTGTTGTTCAATTCCAAATGTCATTTTGCCTATTTTAAATCTTTCTCATATGAAAATTATGAAACAGTAAATGGCTCTGCATTTGATCTCTCAACTTCACCTTTATTCTCAGTGTTCTGTGCCAAGAATCACAAAGACGTTTTGTATCCCTTCCATAAGGCACTTCAAATATGGTTTTTAAAAAGTCTTAATTACTTTTACTGTATTGTAAAAACACATGCCATCCAAGCCTCAAGTCAGCGCTTTTTTTCTGAATGGGAGACCACCACATCTTCGGGGAGCGGGGAGAAAGATGCGCCTGTCCTATCATTTCGTTGCAATGAAAAGAGAAGGCAATTTCCACAAGGTCCTTTACTGTAGGAGCCTGAACAGACTTTCCTGAATTTACGCTTGAACTATAAGCTTTTCTTCAAGATTTTATAGATGAACAGAATAGAATAATAGAGTTGGAAGGGACCTTGGAGGTCCTCTAGTCCAACCCCCTGCTTAGGAAACCCTACACCACTTCAGACAAATGGTTATCCAATCTCTTCTTAAAATCTTCCAGTGTTGGAGCATTCACAACCTCTGGAGGCAAATTGTTCCATTGATTAGATGTTCTGTCAGGAAATTTATCCTAGAGTGAAGAAACTGGACTTTTTCTATCTGACAACAGCAGCAAGGCTCTCCGTACAGGGATGGAAGGATTCACATATACCCAGAATGGAAGAATGGATGGGGAAGTTGACTGCTTTGGTTAAAGAAAACTTTGTCTAGATTTCCTTTTACTTGGAAACCACTCTTCGATTTGCTTGTAAGTGAAAGAAATGAAATTTAAACCTCAGATTGTTATGTATATATGTGTTTATGATGATAAAAGTACAGTTTGTTATGGTTTATTCTAATTCAAAGAGTTATTGATACTTAGGATTTTACCTGTAGTGAAGAAAGTTAGAAGTTATTTTTTCTCTATAGCTTTTTCCCCTTTTTGTCTGCACTGTCCCATTTTTTTCACATTTTTTCACAGTTTTTTCACAAATTTTCACATCTCAGAAGTAAAATTTTAAAAAATTACAACAAAACATACCTTGGCAAAGAAAATTTCCGGGAGGCAATTTTAATGGACAATCTCCTGAAGGCAAGATATTCCAATGGGCAAGGAAAAATATTCTCATGTTATACACCTGTAAGGTTTTCCTCCTATGTGGATTTTTCATGCGCATCTGAAGATTTGATGATCAGACAAAAATCTCTGTCACATTCTAAGACCTGATAAAAGTTTCTCTCCAGTAAGAATTCACTGATGCTGAAAGAATATTTTTCCAGACAAACCATACATCATACTTCAAAGATTTAAAGTGCATCTTTCCAATCTGGATTAGAGTGTGATTTTTAAGGGACAGTTGATAAGAAAATGCTCTCTGAGAGTTTCTAATCCTCCCCTTTATGAACCCTTTTATAACTTCTAAGGGTTGAACAACTATAAAAAACTGTTCTACCATCAGGGACTATTACGGCTTTTTCCATGTGAGTTTTCTGATGTCTCGCTTTTGAGCAAAACATTACCTCACTATCTCTATGGCTTCATTTTATATGGACCTTTTGATGCCTTCCAAGGTGTTGTTTTTGAGAAAAACATTTCCCACACTCTACACACAGGTATGGCTTCTCCCCTGTATGGATTCTCTGATGAACCCGAAGCAGTGCTGCTGTGTGAAAACTTTTCCCACACTCCACACATTTATAGGGCCTCTCTCCTGTGTGTCTGTTCTGGTGTCTCCGAAGTTCAGCAGATTCCACAAATTGTTTCCCACATTCTGGGCATTGATAGGGTCTGTCTCCAGTGTGAAGTTTCTCATGTCGAATTAGGTGTGACTTTGCAGCAAAACATCTTCCACATTCTGAGCACTGATGGGGTTTTTCTCCAGTGTGAATTCTCTGATGTTGAATTAAGTGTGACTTTTCAACAAAACACTTCCCACATTCTGAGCACTGATGGCGTCTTTCTCTAGTGTGAAGTTTCCCATGTTGAATTAGGTGTGACTTCTGCATATGAACCCGAAGCAGTGTTGCTGTGAGAAAACCTTTCCCACACTCCCCACATTTATAGGGCCTCTCTCCTGTGTGCCCCTTCTGATGCCTCCGAAGTTCAGCAGACACCACAAATGTTTTCTGACATTCTGGGCATTGATAGGGTCTCTCTCCAGTGTGAAGTTTCTGATGTCGAAGTAGACTTTCTTTGTAGCCAAAACATTTCCCACATTCAGGGCACTGATGGGGTCTTTCTCCAGTGTGAATTCTCTGATGTCGAATTAGGTTTGACTTTTGATCAAAACACTTCCCACATTCTGGACACTTTTCATTTTTCTGCACATGCTCTCCTTTGTGACGCCTCTCATGTTTTCTAAGATAATATTTGCAACGAAAAGTTTTCTCACACTCTGGACATTTATATTGCTTCTCTAAGTGTGTTCTCTGATGCATCACAAGTGTACCTTTCCAGGTAAAAGATTTATCACATACTGAGCATTTGTGGTGTTTCTCACCCGTATGGGTTTGGCAGTGACTTATAAGGGTTGATTGACGAGTAAATGCTTTCCCACAATCTAAACATTTGAACTTTTTTTCCCCTCTGTGAACATTCTCATGATTTCTGAGGATCTGAATTGTACGGAAAAATGTTCCACACTCGATGCACTGATAGGGCTTCACCCCGGTATGGATACTCTGATGTCGAAAAAGAGCTTCTTTAAAAGAAAAACGTTTATCACAATCCTTACATTTATACAGCTTTTCTGTCGTGTGTGTCCTTTGGTGTCTTTGAAGTTGAGAAGAATCGACAAATCTTTTCTCACATTCTGGGCACTGATAGGGTCTTTCTCCTGTATGAACACTTTGATGTCGAATTTGGTATATCCTATGGGAAAAACTTTTTCCACATTCTGGGCACTGATAGGGTCTCTCCCCTCTGTGAGACTTACGTTTTTCTCCCCTGTGCCTTCTTTGGTGTCTCCGAAGTTCAGAAGTATCCACAAATCTTTTCTCACATTCTGGGCATGGATAAGGTCTGTCCCCAGTGTGAAGTCTCTGATGTCGAATTAGGGTTGACTTTCTGCCAAAACATCTCCCACATTCTGGACACTGATGGGGTCTTTCTCCGGTGTGAAGTCTCCGATGTCGCAGCAAGCATGATTTTGTGGAAAAAGTTTTCCCACATTCTGGGCACGTTTTGCTTTCCTCCTTTGTGTGTATTTTATTATGTTGGCAAAGAGATGAGCTTCGAGTGAAACATTTTCCACACACTAAGCATTTATAAGGATTCTTTCCTGTGTGAATTTTCTCATGTTTTCTAAACAATTGTTTATTACGGAAAGATTTCCCACACTCCAGACATTGATAAGGTTTCTCTCTGGTGTGGATTTGCTGATGTTTAAGCAGTTGTGAGGCTCGAGGAAAGCAGAGCCCACATTGCTCACACTTGCAGGGCTTCTCTTCAGTCGGGCTGTTGGGAGGCTGAGAAAGACGCTGTCTCCCAGGAAATCTTCCCCAGCGCCTCGAGGATTCCTGAGATCTCTTTCTTCCCTGGTGGATTCTCTGATGAGCACCAAGGTCTGAGCCTTTAGCAAAACGCTCCCTGCACTCTCCACATTTGTAAGGCTTTACTCCAGGGTGGCTCCGGAGATGTTTGGCAAAACTCCAGACTCCAGGAAAGGAGCTTCCACAAAGAAAACACAGGTGGGATCCACTCCCCGTGTGCAGCTTCCGGTGGATCAAAAGGAGGGACCGGTGAGCAAAGGATTTCCCACACTCGGAGCACTTAGAGAGTCTCTCCTGATTCCTCTGAAGGAACCTTTGGCCAGAGTCTTCCACCCTCTGCATTGTTTCCAGGGGCTGCTCACTTCCAGGGTTTTCTATCCGAGGAAACTCTAACAAGCAGAACTTTGGCCCCAAATTTGGAGGATGGGCAGGAGGATGGACTCTAGCACGAGTCCAAAAGCTCAGGAGACGAAACCTCCGGTCCCGGTGACTGACCCAGATTGGATCCTGCAATCAGAACTTTCTCCAAAGGATCTCCTGGTGGCACCTGCAGGATGAAGAAAAAAGAAGTGAAGGAGAGAGGAAGATTTATTTTCTCTGAGTCTCTAAACAGCCCAAACAATAATTGGAAAGACCCTCCTTTTGAACCCTGGAGGGGCCCCTTCAAAGCTATCATTTTCTCCCCGCATACTCAAAGTAATGCTGGGATCCCCCCTGTGGAGATGGCCTCCCCTTCCCTATTGTTAATATGATGAGAGGGATGGGTGACAGAGTCCTTGTTGGCCCCTGTGCTGTCCAGACAGTATATAGTTAATTGGGAAATGGGATAGTTAGTTAGGAATTGAGAGCTGTCCCCTTAAGGGAATGCCTCATGGTAAATCTAGTTAATGCATCATGGGAAATGTAGTTCATGTCATGTGGTCACATGTGTAATCCTGATTGGTCACTGAAGTGACCCTTGGTTGGGTTGGGGGAGTTTCCTTTACTCCTGGTTGGACCCCAGCAGCGTGCTGGTGTCTCACCCTTTGCGCCATCATTATGGGATGAAAGATCACTGTATTTTTATACTATGAAGTCAGCTATGCAAAGAATTGGACATTAGATGAATCTCGACATAACCATGAGATATTTTTGAGGATGCGTTTGACCCAATAAGGAAAAGTTGTATGGAAGCCTTTGCAGAGTTTGCCTGTCTGTCTTTATATTCAGCCAGTAATTAAAAGACAGAACAGCCCCCATTTGTCTGCCTGAACTGGGGATGATCCCCGTCTTTTCCTTTTCCGTGGGAGGGGAGGGCAGTAATGCTACATGAAGTGAGACAAACTACAAAGCCTCCCACTACCCTGAGGATTTGGATGTGCCAGGTAGATCTAATTGTGTACAGAGGACAAACTAAAGATTGAATATGTTTCCCTCCTAGAATGGCTTCCCATTTTTGCTTAATATTTTAAGGAGGATGCAAATACATTGATCATGGCCAGCAATGCAGTTTGAACACAATAGGGAAGAAACAGCTTCCATTTTAAAAAGTGACCCAATATATGAACCTAAAGAGGAAGACCGATAGAAGGCTGTCACTTTTAGAGGAAAACAACAACGGAGAGCAAAGCCGCTTCTATCTATTCTATTCCACTCCAATGAATCCCCTCTGGAACTGTCATGTTCTCCCTCAGGATGGGAATATGTAGTCACCCACAAAATAGCAGTCTTTAATAGTTTCTAAAAAAGAGGCCAAATCCAGCATTTCTCCAACAGAAGAAAATATCCTAGAATTTCCTGGGGGAAAAAGGCCAGCATCAGTGATTCAATTTTTTAGGGGAACAGAAGCTAAAGTTTGCAGAGAGGATAGTCAATCTAAGCAGGAATGTTTAACTCCCTGAAGCAGAAATCAACCTCCTCCTTCTCCTGCATGGGGAGAGGAATAACACAACAATGAACCTCAAAAGAGCAGATCCTGGTTCTTATTTTCAAGAAAAGGGGAGGAGAAACCCAGGAAACTACAAACCAATCAGCCCAACACCAATAACTGTGAAGATCCTGGAAAAGATAATAAAAACACAGATCTGCAAACAGCTAGAAACAATATAATTAAAAGCCATTATGGATTTGTTAAAAAGAGATCATGCCAAACCAATCTTATTTTCTTCTTTAAGAAGAATGGCTGGTCTAAAGAAAAGAAGGATTGGGGGTGGCATGATAGCAGTATTCCAGTATCTGAGGGGCTGCCACAAAGAAGAGGAAGTCAATCTCTTCTCCAAAGCACCAGAAGGCAGGACAAGAAATAGTGGATGGAAACAAATCAACCAAGAATTAAGTAGAAACTTTCTCACAGTGAGGACAATTAACCAGTGTAGCAACTGGTCTGCAGCGGTTATGGGTGCTCCAACACTGGAAACCTTTGAGAAAAGAATGGACAGCCACCTGTCCGAAATGGTATAGGGTCTCTGGCTTGAGGAATGGGGTGGACTAGAAGACCTCCAAGGTCCCTTCCCATCCTATTTTGGTGGATAAAACTCACCAATGAGGGGCTGCCACATCACATCCTCTCCTTCATAGCAAAACGAGGCAAATAATGTTTTTTTCAGATCCCACCCAGCTTTGTAGAAATAAAAGTAAACAATTAAAATACTAAAATAAAAGCAAAGAATATCAATTTGTCTCCATTTAGAGATGAAGCAGAAAGAAAGTGGATGTCAGATCCGTGTATCTGCTATTCTTCATGGAAGGAGGAGAGAGGGAGGGAAGCTGGTATATTAAATCCTTTTGATGTAACCTGAATATATTAAATTTGTATAACCTACACATGGATAAAATGCAGGGATGGAAAGCAGATGCCCCAGAAACCTGTCAGCTCTGGAAGAGACAGCCAGGGGATGAAGAGACCATAAAAATTCCAGCAGGGAGATGGGTCCTGGGAAACTCTAAAAAAAGATCCTTCTCAAAAGAGGGGAGGGGGAATTAACATGTTGGCTCTTTGTTTTACAAAATACACATCAAGATAAGGGGAGGGGTTTTAAACTCCTTTATCTGTCATTGCATGCCTGAGAGACGTTAGACGCTGCTTTTAATCCCTACATGAATTGTCTCATCTCAATAAAAGATTCTTTTTGATACGTCTAATTTCAGAAGTTCATTCTTGTCAGTTGACTGGGAAAAGTTCCTTAGCCTGACATAACGCAGCGTCTGCAATAAAGGTCAGCCCGGAGAGGAATTTTTTTTTTTAAAAAAAACCTTTACTCTACTGAGGGGACCCTGCAAAAAGAAAGGAAATGTTTGAATACAACAAGGAACAAGGGGAAGCCAAATACTGGGGAGAAGCATCGACAGTTACCCAGCCAGACGCTGACTCAGTGTACCCCATCGAACATAGCGAAGGTACCTGCGAAACCTCCACAAAGCCCCGGTGGTCTATAGGCCTAGGAAAGAGAGACAGCTGGGATGGAAGAACCAGGGGAGTAACCCTGGAAATTGGAGCTGGAGGCCCTATCGGATCAGAAAGAATGGGGCGAGGAGCCACCCGCCAATGATCGACTGAGGTGGTACAAAAACCGCCTTGTGAGGGAAGCCCTGGAGAACCTTGAGGTGAGGGATGCACAAGGATGCCAACGTAGGAGAGCAAGGGAACCAGAAAATGAGAGAACCTGAGCTGCCACGCCGGACCCAGCTGAGAATGATCAGGCAGTGGGACAAGCTGAAAAACCAGCAGCCATACCAGGTACCCGACCCCTAACCATCCCAAAACAGGGGATTAATCCTGGCCAACCCAGAGACGTAGAACTGCAGAGGAAGGTTCCAGCCCTGGGAGTAAAATTCAATGGGGACCCCCCAGATACTGGGATTTTTCCTGGCGCAAGTGCTCATCTACATGCAAGAATACGGGAGGGATTTCCCAACTCAGGGGTCCCGAGTACGAGTCCTCACCCTGGCTCTTGAAGGGGCAGCAGCCAGATGGATGGTGATGCTCCACAACGTC